TGCATCCCCCTCTCTAAACTTTTAATTACCCTTTAAGATTTAGCCCACAGTTATCTCCTGTAAAGCCTACTCAGAGCCTCCAGTCATTAGTGCTTCTAAGTGCCTCTCTATAATACTTTGTGTTCATTTTATCTTAGGAAATATTAAGTAGTGTATTAGAATTTCCTTCTTTTAGTGGAAAGAGTATAGGTTTAAGAATCAAACACATCACTCCAAAACTTGAGTTGTTTGACTTTGAGCTTCTGTTTTTATTTGTAAAATGCAAATTAAATCTCTGTCTCCTAAGATTGTTCTACAGACAAAATAAAAGATGTGGGGTGTCTGGCACAAAATAGGGTTCAATAAAAATAGGCCTCCACTGTAAGCACCTTGGAGGAGTAAAAAGATAAAATTACAGAAAAATTAGTTTAAAGATCTAATTGGCTTTTATTTGTGATTGTAGAATCCGGCAGAACATCATTCTATAAAGCATAACAGAATGGTCATAACAGAACGGTTTGTTTTTCTAAGGTGGGACCAAGGAAACAGAACAATTAAAAGGAAGTGGATTGGTTAACATCAGGTTACTACAGGTTACTTTTTTGTGAGGGTTAAAGTAGAGATTTCCTTATTATGCCGTCTCAGATTAGCTGAGCTCTTTCTTAATGGTTGCTGTGAATCTCCTACTTTCAGGAAAAACTGGTCTATTTGGGGATTTGCCTGCTTCCTTAAAGTTTCTGTTTGATTATGTGGTAATTCTGTGAGTGACTCTGTTTTGATTTGGTCTGTTCTGCTGGGGCCTAGTGCTGGAGGCTAGTCCAAAATATGGCCTCCCATCAATTTTGTTTAACAGTCAAATTCTACATGTTTATGTTTTTTTAAAATTTATTTTATTTATTGAATCAAAATCGATTATACATGTTTTTGGGGTTGAACATTGAGATATGTTGATTAAATCAATATTATTATTATATATATTGTTACAAATTGTAATTATTCTTTAGGTCCCTTTTCCAACCTCCCCTCTTCCCCCATCCCCTCCCCCCCTAATTGCCCTAGATTTCTTCTCTCCTTCTGAAAGAATAATTGTTACTCTGTTAACTTGTTGCCTAGATGACCTGTTCAATGCCGAGAGATTTGATCAGGTCCCCCAATATTATCATAGAGCAGATGCTTCTTCTGTCACTCTGAAATGGGTTTCTTGGAAAGAGACATCCTCTTCTTTTCTTTTTCTCTGCTGGTGACTCTTCTCATGTGAATGCACTCCAGTGGCTGGCGGACCATCTGCGTGGTGGCTGTGGTGTCTAGCCGCTTTTGCAGCAACCATGGTTATTATGGTGGCTGTGGTGTGCCACACACGTGGAGGTGCTGTTTTTGGCATGCTCTTTGGCACTGGCTGTATGCCTGGTTGTGGGGTGTGTTTGGTCCCTTCTCCATGCCTCTGGTCCCTGGGCAGGCCCCAAGGTGCTGGCATGGTGTGCCTGGTTTTTGGAAGGTGGTCTGGTCCCCTTCTCCATGCCCCGGGCCCGTGAATGGGCCCCAAAGCACTGGCTTGGTGTGCCTGTTTGTCGGACAGATGTCCAGTCCCCTTCTCCATGCCTCGGGTCCCTGGGCGGGCCCTAAAGCTTTGGTGCAGTGTGCCTGGTTGTGGGAGACAGGACCATTCCCCTTCTTCTTGCCCCAGGTCCCTGGGTGGGCTCCGGGCTGCTGGCATGTTGTGCCTGGTTGTGGGAGAGAGGTCCGGTCCCCTTCTCCATGCCCTGGATCCCTGGGTAGGCTCTGAGGTGCTGGCAAATTGTGCCTGGTTGTGAGAGGGTGGTCTGGTCCCCAACACCGTACCCCCGGTCCCTGGGTGAGCCCCAAGGCGCTGGCTCAGTGTGCCTGTTTGTGGGAGAGAAGTCCAGTCCTCTTCTCCTTGCCTCGGGTCCCTGGGCAGGTCCCAGGTGCTGGCATGGGTGTGCCTGGTTGTAGGAAGGCGGGCCTGTCCCCTCCATGCTTCAGGTCCCCAGGCTGACCCTGAAGCACTGGTGCAGTTTGCTTGGAATTAGGAGTGGGTCCGGACCCCAGAACCAAGCTTCCAGTTCCCAGGCAAGCCCCAAGGTGCTGGTGGTGTGCCTGGGCCAGAATTAATTTTTTGTCCTTTGCTTCTAACACAGGGGAACTTCCTATGGGAACCAGTACTTGAGCTGTGTGGTTGCTTAAATTGCTACTTTGCTGCTGTTTCCCTAGGGAAGGCTTTTTGTGCAACACAGGTTATAATGGTTGACTTTATAGGTACTTCCGGCTCTCCAGAGACCCGGTGGATCTGTGTTCTGTAGAATCTCTGATCTGGGCCTGAGATTTTTCATCAAGCTGCACCCCATGCAATTCTGCATTCCTGACCAGTCTCCTCTGAGTGGTCCTGTGCTGATTGGGGGGCAGATCAGCTGTCCTTACTGTGTCCCAGTGTTCCCCTGGTGGGCACGTCTCCCCCACACCCATGTTCCAAACACTTCCTATGGGATTGGCCCTGCCCCGGTCCCTTGTGATGACTCACTGCCCTCTGAGTGGCTTTCTTTTTTCATTTGTTCTGGCTCCTCGCTCCTGCATGGGTCCACGTGATCCCTATTAGTGGTCTTGCTGTCCTGGGGGCCACCAAGGCCTTCTTCTCTCTTGCTGCCTCCAAGTAACCCCATCTGAAGGGCACAGCTGCGGCTTCTGCTGGCTTCTGCTCCATGCGCTCAGCAGCTCTGGCCTTAAAGCAGCCGCAGTCCGAAATGCTCAGAGCAGCTTTTTCTTTCTCTCATCGAAGTTTCTCCTGCCTTCATGAACTCCGTAGGTCTCTCCTCTTCTTCCCCTGAGCTCAACTGGGTGGATGTTACATTTTTATAGGTGTAAATTTAGTTGATTTGTGGGAGAGAGTGACCCTGCAGACTGTTTATTCTGCCATCTTGATTGGATCTCCCTACATGTTTGTGTTTTTAGCCCAGTTCTTAGCAAAGTGCCTGATAAACAGGTGTTCAGAAAATGTTTGTAGAATGAATGAATGAATTTGAGGGGACAAGAAACTGAAAGTTGAAGAGTCCAGATAAGGAGTTTCTTAAAAGTAAGGAGGACTTGAACTAGTAGAAGAGTGGTAAAGAAGCAGAGGGATGGGAGAGTTATGTAGAGTTGAAATGAAAAGGGACTTAGAGAATAATGTTATAATTTTTATATCTTTGAATACTTGATCTGTCTTTATCAAGTGATGATAGCCTAAGAGATAACTCTTTCAGAATCATTTTCCCGATGTTGGTTCTAAATTATTTACAGTAGAAGTCCCCAATCTGATCATTATAAACCCTAACTTGATTTGCTCATTTTTTCGACATGATTGTTAAGCTAACACTAGCTGCAGGTAAGCACTTCGTAAATGTTTTCTGTCCATCCTATCTGAGGTTGCCTCTCTTACTCTCTAGTTCATCACCCAGTTTATCTCCTTATACATTTTACAACATGTAAATTGTCTTTTTTGTTTACTGTCTGACTCTTTGACAGAATATAACCTTCATTAGTCAGAGACCATATTAATTGAATGAGTGAATTTGGGTGGGGAAGTATTTTAGGCAGAATTTAAATAAGGATTGAACAAAAAGTTTCTTTTTAGCTCTGTTACTGTCAGACTTAGTAATTCAATTCCATGAACGTTCATTTGGTCGTGAAGGCACTGTCTTACAACAGCTCCCCAAAAGCCACATTTTATACCTATTGGTTAACTGAGACTTAGCTAAATAAATTTGCAGCATGTTAACTACTTGTTCTTTTTAGAAAGATCCTTAATCTCTAAAACTAAGCCATATTTTAGTGGCTGACAATATACCTTTCTCTTTGTTCATGTTTCTTTCCTCCTTCTGGCGCTGAAATTTTAAATTGTTTGTGGATGTGCGGGAAGGAATGTGAGAAAGGAAAAAATAAATAAATACAGATGGTAGTAGCTTCATCGATATTTCACCTTGGGAATTGACTTAGAGGAAATTACGGGCTCAAGGTTGGATAACAATTTATCATTGGGGTGGGGAATCTCCAAGACTACCCCCAGGTTCAGTGATTGGCTGGGAGGACTAACAGGATTCAGCACATTGTTATACTCAGGACTGTTTATTACAGTGAAAATATACAAAGCAAACCCAGCAAAGGGAAAAGGCACGTGGGGCAAAGTCTGAAGAAACTAGGTGCAAGATTCTGAGTCCTCATTCACTGAAGTCATGTAGTACTCAAGTCATCCAGTAACAACTTTACAGGTGTGAAATGTTTCCTACAAAGGAACCTCACTAAAGACTCAGTTTTTACAGGGAGATGGTCACACAGGTCCTCTCTGCCTAGCACATACTAAAATTCCAGACTCCTAGAAAGAACGCAGGTGTTAGCATAAATCACATTGTTTGCCCAAACATTTTAGGCACAATGAGCTATTCTAATCAGGGCATGGTAGAAACCCTCCCCAAATCCAAATCCCAGTCTTCAGATGCCAGCCAGCATTGTAAGTAGGACTTTCAAAGGATAGCAGTCTCAGGCCTGCTGTATAACTTTTCGTAGCCCTATCTCATACCAATCATAAATATTCTAGCAACCTTAGTTTAGCCGTTGGGAAGACCCTGGGTTTAGTTAGCCTTATTATTTTTTTTTTTTTCCAGTATGTGAGGGCTTAGAGCTTCAATGATGCTTTAGGTGATAGTTCCCATATTTATAAAATAAGAATAACTGAAAATTCAGAGGCATTAAATGATCATCTTTGGTGTAATACCTAATAATGGAAAAGAGCTGGGATTTAGATTCTTAAATTTAGACCTCTTAATTTAGCTCTCTACCATAACTGCATAGAAGAGACAAGTAATCTAAGGAAAAATTTTCAGTCACATGCATTTTGAACATTGACAAGACAGAACTATTTAGACATGTGTATTGGCCATATTTCATTTCCAGTCATGTCCTGATTTCTTCAGCTCTGGTCAAGGCTTATTATCGTTAAGAATGAATGAATTTTTCTCTCTTTCCTTCCCAAGGAAAATCTAATGTGATGGATGCAATTAGTTTCGTAATGGGAGAGAAAACAGCTAATTTAAGAGTGAAAAATATTCAAGAACTTATTCATGGAGCACATATTGGAAAACCTGTTTCTTCTTCTGCAAGTGTAACAATTGTGTATATGGAGGAAAGCGGAGAAGAGAAAATATTTTCAAGGATTATCCGAGGTATTTTCTGTAGATTTTTGCTTATGTCATTTGATTTTTTTAAGATTAAGTCAGATTGCCTGTTTTTACCTTCTTTGAAGGGTGATTGTTGTTATTCTACTGGCATAGTGAACTAGAAGGTATTCTTGTTTCCTCTTCAATAGAAAATCTCAGAGGCAAGTAACAGAACCTATTTGATTCTCCACTAAGATTCTTCCTTAGGCATACGTAAGGAGGGTACTTCAAAATCTTTCTACAAACATTTTTTTTTGCATTTATCAGAAAATATTAATTTATTGAAGGCCCATTCTCAATAAAGACACTTATAGTAATATTATAGCTAGTTCTATATCTCTAATCTTTCAGTGATAGGTGCTTATTGAACTTTAATGTCATCTTCTTTTATTTAATTTTATGCCCCAAAGCCCTCTTTTTAAAAAAAAATTATTAATTTTTTTTTCTTTCTTAATTTTATTTTGTCGATATACAGTGAGGTTGATTATTGTGGTCTACAAACTTTTTGAAGTACCCTGGTATTTGTTTAAATCCCCCTACTGTCAAATAGCATTTTTATATCTGGATACTTGGTTAAGATATAAGGAGCCTACTTCAAACACAGAGAAGTTATAAAAGTTCTTCCTGAGGTTCTTAATGTTTATGTGGTTTTCATATGATGAACTAATTACATGCATATTTTTGGCTTGTATAGACAGTTTTCTTACCTTGAAAAGCAGCTCGAGTGAAATGTTTGAATTTGTATTTTATGATTTATTCATGAATTCCCTGTGTTGTCTGAATAAACAAGATTGAGAGTTGCTTGTGTTTTTTTTTTTTTATCCTGTGCTAGGATTTCACAGAGCCTCTATAAATAGGAGTTTTTGTTTTTGTTTTGTTGTTACTGTTCAGTGTCCACCAGAACATTTCTAATGTATAAATGCTGTCTCATTAACCTCCCCCAATTCAGTCATAGATGATTTTAGAAGTACTTATTATATACTTGTACCTTAATGTGTAATTTAAATATCTCACCACTTTATCCACCAGATATATTCATTGGCTAGTTTTCTCACTTGCTTTAGATTTTTAGCACAAACGTTTCCATCTCAGTAAGGATTCCTTTGCCCACCGTATTTAAAATTGCAAAGCCTATCCTCCCTACCCAGAAACTTCCACTCTATCTTCCCAGCTCATTTTTACTCCTTATCACTTACGACTTTCTCACGTACTATTTATTTTTCTTCCATATCTTATTTTTCTTTGTCTTCCTGACTAGGATATAAGCTCCTTGAGATCAGAAATTTTTATCGGTTTTGTTCACTGCTGTAGAATAGTCCTTGGCATATACGAGGGTCCTGCAAAAAGTTTATAGAAAGATTTGTATTATCTTTCAGTTCTATTTTTCCATGAACTTTCTGAAGTACCCTCATAATAGACACTCGATATTTGTTGGCTGATTAAATGCAATTATGCATATGTATATGATTATATTATTGCATACCTGGCCATTTCAATAACAAAAATAATTTTATTAAACTTCATTGGTTGTGGAGATATATCTGATATTTATGTTTCCAATTTATATTTATCCTTTAATATTAGGGGGACGCTCAGAATTTCATTTTGATGAGAATCGCGTGAGTCGTTCTGCTTACATAGCAGAGTTGGAGAAGATCGGCATAATTGTCAAAGCACGAAACTGCCTAGTTTTTCAGGTAAGTAGCTGTAGTAGTTCACTGGATTCATAGTTCTGAAAATACATCACTAAATTTTATATGTTGGTGTGCTTTCCTTTTTTAAAAGGGAACTGTAGAGTCGATTGCAATGAAAAAACCCAAAGAAAGAACCCAATTTTTTGAGGAAATCAGCGGCTCAGGAGAACTGATACAAGAGTATGAGGAAAAGAAGAGAAAGTTACAAAAAGCTGAAGAGGATGCACAGTTTAATTATAATAAGAAAAAAAACTTAGCTGCAGAGTGCAAACAAGCAAAATTAGAGAAAGAAGAGGTAAGGTGTAATGAAGATGTAACCAAGTAAGTGTTAGATAAAAAACTTTCTATTAGAATTGCTAGGTATTGGCTTGGAATTACTAAGAAGATTTCCTTTATAATATAAGAAAAATAAAGCCCAATATTCAGTAAAGATAAACTTTTGGATATATCTTTCACTATTTGGGTATTTGGGTTCTTAATCCCAAATAGGCAGGACAGCCAGAACTACAAAAATGTCTGATTTTCTTGGCTAAAAATACGCTTGATAGGTTTATATCTTATGTAGCAGAGGCTCTGAAACTTTTGGATCTTGACCCCCTTACGCACTTAAAAACTATTGAGGACCCCAAAGAGTTTTTGTACACGTGGATTTTATTCACCAATACTTGTTGAATTTGAAATCAAAACTAGACATTTTAAAAATAGATGTAATGGTCCATGTAAAAAATACCAATAATAAACTCATTACATGTTAACATAAATAACATTGTTATGAAAAATAACTACATTTTCCAAACAAATTAATTAGAAGAGCGACATGTTTTGCAATTGTATGGTTTCCTTAATGTCTGGCTTAATACAAGACAGCTAACTTCTCATAAACACTTAGCATTAAATCATTTTGTGCTAAGGCCTAGCAGTTTTATCCACCATTGGTTTTTACACCATCAGTGAAAATGTCAACACACTGAAAAAGGTAAATGATGTCTTAGTATTATTATGAAAATAGTTTTGTCTTCAGGGACTCTCTAAACGGGTTTTGGCGACCCCTAGGAAAACATGGCTTCACTTTTCAAATGCTGTGGTATTTCTTGGTGCCCTTCACAATGCCTAGTACGAGGGGTCATGAAGTTAGTGGAAAGATTTGTATTATCTTTTAGCTCCATTTTTCCATGAACCTTTTGAGGTTCTGTATAGTGTGCCTTGTCTATGGTTGGTAATTGTTTGCATTTAGAGTGATCTTATTCAAACGCTAATCAGATCCTCTCTTTCCCTTGAATAAAACCTTCCAGTGTAGTGCTTCCCGCTGCACTGAGAATGTAATCTCCTTTCCTGCCTACTGATCTGGTCCCTGTTCACCTCTCAAGCCTAACTTCCTCTCTTTTGCTACCCTGTTAACCTTTGTTATATGTTGAATACACTAAGCTCCCTTTTACCCTGGAGCTTTTGCTATTTCTTCTGCCTACGTAACTGTATGCCTGATTTTTGCATGGCTGGTACTCTCATACAATTCTTTATACAAAAGCCATTTTCTTTTCTCAGGCAGGCATTTGCTGTCCACTGTCCCCACCCCCTGCCCCAATCTAAATTAGTGTCCCCTCTTGTACATCACCCTGTATTGTTTCTTTTCTAAAATATATTGCTGTACAAAATGATCTTGCTTATTATGTGTTTGTTTGTTTATTCTCTGATTCTTCTTCCTCCACCCCTGGAATATCAGCTTTACAAGAGCACGGACAGTCTGTCTAGTTCTTCACTATATTCCCAGCAGCACAGAGAACAGGGCCTAGCACACAGTAGATACTCAATCAATATTTAAGGAAATAAATGAAAAGTGGATATGTTTCTTATTAGTGGTTGTATTAGTCCGTTTTGTGTTTGTTGCTATAACAAAGTACCTAGACTGGGTAATTTATAAAGAACAGAGGTTTATTTGCTAACGATTCTGGGACAGCTGCATCTGGTGTAGGCCTCAGGCTGCTTCTACTCGTGGTGGAGAGCAACAGGCAGCTGGTGGGGACAAGCAGATCACATGGTGAGAGGAAGCAAGGGAATGCAGAGGGAGAGACAGACTCTCCTCTTCTTTTAAAGCCCTCAGAACCACACTCCTCACCACCATTTTTACTACTGCACCGGTCCTACAATCCAATCAGCTCTTCAAGCTCTACCTTTCAATTACCATAAAACGATTTCCTACCCTCTTAACAGTCACAGTGGGGCTAAGTTTCTAATATATAAAAGTTGAGGAATACAGTTCAAGCTTCAGTGAGTTTTGGGGGAACACAATGCAATCCACTACAGTGTGGAAAATCTCTGTTTCTTCATATTTTTTAATGTGTATAAGTGTCCTTCGTTTTGTCAGTAAAAAGGGGTGGCAGCAGTAAAAGTCAGACTGCAATAGTCACAGCGTAGTGAAATAACTTATAAAATTACAGAACTTGAAACATGATAAGGACAATTAGAATAGTCCAACTTCCTAATTTTTTACAATATCCTGGAGGATGACCATTTAGTTGCTACTTGAAATTCTGCATTGATTAGGAGCTCTCCTCTTGAGGGACTTCATTCCTTTATTTCTTTATCAATAGCATTGATGTTAAGGAAATTGTTCCTCTTCACCTATAATTAAGAACTATAATAGTCCTATTAGTTCTATCAATAGGAAAATCACTTCCTGTAGCAGGAATTTTGCCAGGAATCCTTGAATTTAAAGTTGCTAGGGACCATACAAGTTACATGATGCTCTTCCTTCAGTTTACAAATGAGGAGGCTGGTGCTAGAAATGTTAATGAACTTGCCAAACTCCTCAAGACGGAAATGGGATTAGGAGCCGGGTTAGGGGTGCCACTCCATTGTTCTTACCACTGCACCACTAAGCGCATGGATACAAAATTAATGGTTTCCTGGTTTAATTTAGAAGTGTATTCAGCAACCTTCCCTAAATAATGCTATTTTGGGCAAGAATACTGTTCCTTAGTGACATAAATGAAAATTCATTAGACATCATTTGTTGGTACAGTCGTTGGGTTTATGAAAGGTCAGCTTAAGTATATTCACTTTTTACTGCTTTTGAATTGTACTGTTTTATAGGCAGAGCGTTACCAGAGTCTCCTTGAAGAACTGAAATTCAACAAGATACAACTACACCTTTTCCAACTATATCATAATGAGAAGAAAATTTGTTTTCTGAAATTTGATTTAGAGCGTGTGAATAGGGATTTGAGTGTCACAAAAGAGTATCTTTCTCATCATGAAAACATAGTGAAAGCCATGAAAAAGGAACGTGGAATGCTAACCAGACAACTACAACAGACAGAAAAAGAAGTAAAGTGAGTTTTTATAAATAGGTACTAATAGTTGGGTTTTACATAGATTGATAGAAAATAAAAAATACATTACACTTTGAAAGTTGACTTTTTGAAATAAGCTTTTTACTTTGGAATACTTTTAAATATACAGAAAAATTATAAAAATAGTACAGAGTTCCTATATTCCCCACACTGTCTCTCCTATTAACATCTTAGTGTGATATATTTGTCAGAATTAATAAAGCAGTATTGACACATTATTATTAACTTAAGTTCATACTTTATTCATATCTTCTTAGTTTTTGCCTAATGTCCTTTTTCTGATCCAGAATACTGTATTATATTTAGTTGTCTGTTTCCTTCAGATTCTCTCTGAAGCTATGACAGTTTCTCAGACTTTTCTTGTTTTTGATGAGTTCGACAGTTTTGAGCATTGGTCAGGTTTTTTGTAGAATGTCCCTTAATTGGGGGACAAAAAATGTCTGATAATTTTCTTATAATTAGACTGGGGTTGTGAGTTTTGGGGAGGAAGACCACAGAAATAAAATGCCGTTCTCATCATATGGTATCAGAATGTCAACATCTTATAGATGTTACAGGATATATCATATTCTATGTTATGTAATATCAACATGATATCACTGTTCATGTTGACCCTGATCACCTGACTTTGGCAGGTTTCTCCATTACAAAGTTATTCTTTTATTTTCCCCCTTTTCATACTATAGTCTTTGGAAGGAGGTCACGAGGCATAGTCCACACTTAAGGAATGGGGAGTTACGTTCTACCTTTTGAGGGCAGAGTATCTACATAATTTATTTAGAATTCTTCTACACAGGAGATTTGTCTCTTATTTATTTATACAATTATTTATTTCTATCAGTATGGATTTATGGATATTTGGGGTTATAATCTAATACTACATTGCTTATTTTCTTGCTTAGATTACTGCAGTTTAGAGTATCGAGAACTCTGAGTTGGCTCCCATGTGCCTTTGACACATCCCCATCATTGTGATTTTGGTTTTGCAGCAATTCCTTACTTTTTTGGCACTACAAGATGTTCCAGGCTCATTTTATATGGGCCAGTCCTGGAATTAGCCTGCCCTAGTCTATATGAGCTTGCCCAGGGGTCAGTAATTTCTTCAAGGAGTTCTGGTCCTTTCATTGGTATTAGGAACTAAACATCTGGGTGCTAGGTGTGCTCATTCCTACTGGATGTCTTTGCTACTAGGCTTTCTCAGCTGACAGAACTAAGAAATGGGTGTGTGTATACTAAGTCTTGTAAATATACATATCTATAAATATTTCCGTATATAATTATCTGTATCTTGATTGAACTAAACATGAGTTCGTATTGTCTCTCAATTTTAATCCGTTACCACATGGATCATTCTAGCCTTCTCTTTCTTATTTATAACCTCCCATTTCAACAGTGAGAAACCTGGCTTGCACAGTCTGTCATCCATTTGCATTAATCCAGTAATCATGTATAGCAGTATCAGAATTGTTCACCCATTCCTCCATGGAAAGCAACTTTATAACTGGAGTACAACCCCTCAGTATGGTTGTTTATACATTTGTAATTCTTTTGTCACATTCTATTCCATCTAGGATCTCTCTAAGTGATTTTTTAAAAAATTTGCTTACATTAAGGTTCACCTTTGGTGCTGTCAAGTTCCATAGGTTTTGATAAATTCATAGTGTCACGTGTCTGTCATTACAATATCATACAGAGTAGTTTACCCACTCTTAAAAAGTGCCCCATGCTTCATCTGTTTAACCCTCTACCTGACCTCACCCAACTTCTGGCAGCCACTAATCTGCTTATGGTCTGAAAGTTAATTTTTAGAATTTATTTTTTAATGTGATTTAATCAAAGGGACTTCTTCCCTTTATATATTAAAAAAATAATTTTCTTTAAAGCAAACTTTTTTTTTCTTCTTAGATCTCTTGAAGCACTTTTAATTCAGAAGAGGCCTCAATACATTACAGCCAAAGAATGTACTTCTCATCACCTCAAAAAATTAGATATTGCTATGAAATCAGTAAAGGACAGTGAGAAACAATGTTCTGAACAGGAAGATGACATAAGAGCCCTGGAGACAGAGCTGGTTGATTTAGATGGTGCATGGAGAAGTCTCGAAAAGCAGATTGAGGAAGAAATCATACATAAAGTTCGAGACATAGAACTGGAAGCCTATCAGGTGAAAAAGTCAACATATGACAAATCTTTTCTATCTATTGTTTCCACTTCTCCTTTCAGTTAGAAAACATTTAAAGGATGTTCTCTCTGTCTGATACTTTAAGAGATTATCCTCAGAATGTAAATTATGGGGATTTAAATTTTTCAGCCTATACACAGAATCTGAATTTATTCTTCAGACTAAGCTATTTTTTATAAGATTAGATGGCATTATAACACTTCTGAGTTAAAGTCCTAGAAAATAATTCAACAAGGTTACATGATGTCATTTTGTAGTATAGAAGTTAGGTACTTAAGTTATCTTTTCTTTTTTTTTTGGTCCGTTTTGAGACCGGCAGTACTGCACTCAGCCAGTGACCAGTGTGAGCGCACTGGGTCATCCCTATGTAGGATCCGAACCGGCGGCGGGAGCGCTGCTGCGCTCCCAGCGCCGCACTCTCCTGAGTGCGCCACGGGCTCGGCCCTAAGTTATCATTTTTAAGGTAGTTATTTTTTTCCTTTCGTGATATTATAAAAACTTAAAAGTCTGATATATGCGGCTTTGAAGAGACATCATTTAATTGATAGGAGGGAAATCGGTAACTTAAGGTGATTTAAAATGTTCAGTGATAAATTAATATCCAACTTAGTATATGGGATTTAATTGTAATAAATCAAGAGTAGATATCCAAGTATACGTAGCTGAGAGTTTCAGATATTTTCTCAACTAAATTTTTATCATTTATCTCCTTGTTCATTTTATGATAATCTTACGTCACACTATATGTACCAAAATAATAGTGACTATATCAGTAAGAAAGAAATATATCATTTTCTCTAGATTCCCCTTTCTCTTTTAAGATCTTCTGACAGAAATGTTATTATAGGATTTGTTTTCAATACCTTGTTGCTCAATATAAAGTTTTAAATAAAGAGGGTTTTATATTATGTTCACATTATTTTACCTGGATAAGATGGCCAATATGATCCAATGTATATGAAACAATCTTTTGATAAGATTAATGATCTGCTAGTATCATATAAAGAATTTCCCGTCATGTTTCTTTAAGTGAGTTAGCAATGTTTCAATGATATTTATACAGATGGATCATTATAACGAACTTAAGGAACAAGTAAGAAAGAAAGTAGCTATAATGACGCAACAACTGGAAAAACTGCAGTGGGAACAGAAGGCGGAGGAAGAAAGACTGGCGTTTGAAAAGAGGAGGCATGGTGAAGTTCAGGTACCTCAGTTTGTGCAGTGATGATTTGGCATTATCCTCAGTGACATTTTATTCCCTTTTTATACTAATATTTAAATATATAAATGGATTTACATCAAACATAAGCAATTAAAACTTTTCTGGATTACCTGTTATACTGCTTAGTATTATTTAGGTGATCTTTTATATTTAAAATATATTTGTCTGCCTTCCTCCTCGACAATGTAAACTCTACGAGAGCGGGGATATTTGTTTTATTCACTGATGCATCTCAAGCACCTAGAATAGTTCCTTTTACACAGATGATAGTCAATAAATATTTGTTGGATTACTGTGTTTTACAGATGAGGTGATCAAAGCACAAAATGATTAAGCTAACTTGACTAAGGTCATAAGTGGAGGAACTGGGTTTTAATTCCAGACACTTTGTCTTCAGAGTGCATCTCCTTCACCCTTATAGTACACCATCTCATTTTAGTCTTTGTGATTTGGCAGATGAAAATAAAATATGGAAGGTGCAGTATATGATAGTCCTGTGAGTAGAAGAGAAGGCGGTTTGTGCCAGGAGAAAAACAAAGATAGTCACATAGCAGGAAATATTTTTAAAACATTTGTATAGTTGTATAATTTGTATCACATTATACAATTATACACTGGATTCTAAAAATACATATTTCACATTTTTGCATTTGTGCATGTTAATTTCTTTCTGGAGTAACCTGTTCATCTTTAAATGTTAAGTTATATAGTTACCTATACCACAAAGCCTTCCCTTGCC